CTTTGTCCGAAGTAGTAATAAATAATAAAAAGATCGGTTATATGATTGTGACAAAAGGGTAAATACGACATTTCCAACCTCCATATATTTTAACTTATCCTATATGCTATTGTATTTAATCAATTATCATTTTGCTAATACCTTCAAATAGGATTTTTACACAAAAAGGGTAAAAATTCTTAATTTTTAAAAACAATTTGGGGAAATTAAAAAGGTAAAATTAAAGAAAGGAAGAAATTGGAAATGAGAAAAATATTAGAAGGGAAAATGGAAGATAGTAAATTACTAAAGTACCCCTATATGGTATGATCTTTTCAAATTACTTACGAAAGATGTTGCGTGTGTGGTTTGGTAGGAAGGATTCTTCTTGTAATTTTGTATTTATTTTATTTTATATTGTGTTTAATTCCAAAAATAAAAAAGATAATTTATTAAATGTTTGAATAAAAATGAAAAATATATAATGGACTTTATTTAAATGTACAAGAAAGCCATGAGAATAAAATCCCATTGTTTATAATTAATAATAATAATAAAGACAAAGACCCAATTTCAAACCCCAATAAGGACTGTTAACCCCCTTGTCTGGTAATGGTTGTCATGAAATTATTAATGCCTTGAAAACAATGTGAAACAAGACAATATTATAGGCTAAAAACAAACGAGCAACAACAACAATTTTGATAGAATATAACATAAGTAGAAAGAATTGACAACTAGTTATGAATTTTAGGGCATTTTAACTCTGGTGAATGTAGACATGATTTTAGCATGTTATGAATAGTGAAAACCTAACTACAAATGAAAGCAAGTAAAAGAGTTTGAAACGGGCATAGACCATGAACAACATGTCCTAGACAAATACGATTAGAACGTTCGAAACATGTCCACAGAGAAAACGCTTTGAACAAGTATGATTGCGACACCAAGCAGCTAGAAAGAAATGTAAAAAACGAGAATAGTTGAGACTCAAATAGTTATAATGCTATTAAGTCTCGTCCTAATTGAAGGAATAAAATAAAACTAGAAATACTAATTTGTTTAAATGAGGGGCTTAAAGGTAATTTTTAATAAAGATAAATATGAGTCACAATTAAATAAATTCAAAATCTCAATGGTGTAAAAGTCCAATTTGAAGCATAATCGAGATCAAAGGAAAATCTTTTAGTCAAAGGTTGGAAAACGACACAGTTTCAAATGGAACATTGAAAATTAAAAAAAAGTTGACTTGGAAATTATTAAAATATTACTGAAATATATTTTATGTTCGTGTGGTAATTAAAAGTTATTTATAAAAAATTTACATCATTTTTTTTAGGAAAACTAATTTCAAACTAATAATTCTCGTGTATTATTATTATTTGTATTTGAAAATTTATGTATTAATTATTTTAAAATAAAAATTTAATTGAGAGTTTAAATTAATTTATTCAAAAAAATTTAAAATTTAATATATTTGCCTTTAAACTATATATAAATTTTTATTAAAAAAATTAGAAGTAAATTATTATCAAATAACACATGGAAAGGTGGCTTAATTTCAATTACACCAAATTATTTAACTTTTATTTTATTTTCCCAAAAAAAAGAAAATTTTTAATTTTGGTGTTTTGAGGAGGAGCACGTGGGACATGGGTGGCACTTTCCAAGTACCAAGTATCTACATTGGATGACACGTGTCAACCTTTTTTACCAACCAAACTTAAATTAATTTTATTGAACTGAAAATATTTCAACCAAAAATGGGAAAATAAGACATCCAATTGAATTTGTCAACGCCCACCATATTTTCAGCAAGAATAAAAATAAAATGTGAATTTTACAAGTGGAATTTTTGAAATGACCAAGTTACCCTCCACTTTTACCTTACATCCCGGGTTAATTTTAACTTAGTTTCAATTATATCCTTAAACTTTAAATTTTAAAGATCAGAACAAAAATTATAAGTAAAAGAACAAAAATTTGGAGGCGTGGCATGTTCCGTCTTGGGTTCAATTTCAAAGGGGTTGATCGAGTAAATTTTTTACCTTCTGTGATCATTGAAAGCTCAAATCAACGAGCATTTGAACATTACTAAAGATTATTTAGATCGACAACAACCAATATCAATATAAACACAATATTTTATTCTTACATGGTTAAAAACTCGAATCTCTACTGTGACAGATCAAGAAACAACAATAAGTCGAAGTAAATCGACAAAACAAAAGGGCAATTTAGTCAAATTCCACGACACAAACAATTAAGAAAGAGATTTTGGATCCACACTTCATCACAAGCTGTCGGCTTTCCTTAATAAATCTCTTGATTCCTTCACTTCTTCCTCAAAGGCTTCTCTCTCACACACACACAAATAATGGCTTCTCAAAACCCTATTACCTCTCTCTCTCTCTTCCTCTTCATAATTCTCCTCACCACCACCGCCCCTCTCTCCACCGCCCGCCGCCTCTCCACCGCCGAACAACAACCGGAAAATGATTCTCTCCACCCACCCACCACCTCATTTTCATTCACACAGCCGCCGGCCACCGTGGAAAACCAAGCCGCTTCCCAAAACTACGCCGTGTCACACCGCAAAGTCCCCGCCGGTCCCAACCCACTTCATAACTAAACCGATCAGCGTCGGATCTCGAAAGGTTCAAACTTTTTGCAGTCTCTTATAGCTTTCTTTTTTCATTTTTCTAAATATGTATGTGAATAGAGATAAACGACAGCGTTTAATTGATTTTTGTGAAGAAATTTATAGAAAATAAGATCCAGAATTCCGTCATGGCTGCTGTGTCTGAACTGAATGTTCTAAGGAATATTAATTATAATTAACGTTGAATAAAAAATTAATTTATTTTTTTAATGCTTCTTTATTATTTACAAATAAATATCATTTAATGCGATTGCCATTTAGTCGTAATAAAACCACTAAATAAAGCTACGTACACTCATCTTCATATAAACCCATTATATCATTTTCCTTAAATATATTATTATTATTATTTGTAAAATCATCCCATGTTGTTAAATATAGGCTTATTTCTAAAATGTTTGTTCATGGAAATAAATTTTAATATAAATTAATAATAATATTTGGGAATTCAACAACCTAATGAAATATATATATATATATATATATATATATATATATATATATATATATATATATATATATATATATATATATATATATATATATATA